TGATAATAGAGCTTGAAAATCATTAAAGAGCATGCTCACAGCCATATCACTAGAAGGCACACAGAGACAGAAATTCATTAGGTACAGGGGAATAGCCCAAATTAATCAGCAAAACCTGGCTGCATTGAGCAATTCTAGTAGCAAAAATGCCTTTTTTCACCAAAGCTTAGGGTTGGCTTGTATTACAATCCAGAGTATTTTAAGAAAGTTGGCTTTCAGGAAAAACTTTGAAAAGTATGCTGAGAGAAGAAAAATACTATTTTCCTATTATTCTATGAGTTCTTCAAACCAACCAACTTTGCAAATCATTATTTCAGTATTGTATCTTGTCCTGAAGCTGAAGAAAGCTGGCTAATGCCAGTCACAACCTCATTCCTCAGTAAGTGCATCTAGGAGAAAGAAGGGAAGGTAATAGAAAGAAAAATGGCAACAGAGCTTGTTAACATGCTATAATTCAATAGGATATGTCCTTTTAAGGCACCATGTCACACATACATGCTCAAACACGCTGCTTCTCTGTGACCTTGCTTTTCTTCTGCTTGAAAAATTAGGTGAAAATTATAAAAGTGTAGTCACAGAGAGGAGCCAAGGAAGCCCTTCAGCTGAGAAATGGCAGACATAAAAGATTGATTAGGCCCAGAAATACTTTATCTAGCAAAAAAATAAAAAGCGCAAAACTATCAGAGGAGGAAATTAAAATTAAATCCCTTTAATTTTCCCTTCTTGCCTCTTCCAATAGTCTGTCCATTGGACACACCATGTGAGGACCAAAATATATCCATTCTCCCCATGAGCCAGGATGACCTCTAGGGATGTGCTGGCTTCCCAGTTGGTTGCTCTGCCATTCCTCCTGCTCAAACAGCCATGAAAAATACCACATCCCATGCTTAGGATTTTGCAGTGAAAAAAAGGGATTTTATGTAATTAACTGCTAGTAGCTAAAAAGCAAAGACAACTCACAGTAGATGCAGGGCTCCAAGACACCAAAAACTTGTCAACGCCATTGATCACATAAAAAGCACAATTTGAAATAAAATAGAGTACTAATCACTTTGTCCTCTGTCCCTAGCCAATTATTCTGCAGGACTTATAATAAATCTTCATAAATTGTTCCATGCCATACAGCTCTTAAAAAATATTTTCACAAAACTGCCAACATTGTTAGCTGCTGGTTCTCAGAAGTGGCTTCATCTGTTTGTGCAGGTCCTGAAGGACTGTCTCTGCTCAGATTTGTGGTCTTAAGTACCAACTGCACCAAATCAAGTGGAAAAAAAATAAAGTAACAGTTGCTCAGTATTTCTGAAAATTGAAGAAGCATCTGTTTGGACAAAATACGGGGAGCTCTCCTTATGATTATGAGTTTTACTCATAGTAAATTAGAAGCTGGAAGAAGCAACCCAGAAGAAGACTCTGCAGTACCACATATTATGAAACTGTGAAAGCAAGAAGAAAAAATTATAAGAATGGTAGAAAAAAAAATTTAAAATTTGATTTTTTTTTTTTAATTACTGCTTAAATTAAGGAAGAATCCATGTTCATATGTGCTCATAGAAGTCTTTCTTTCTAATTTGCAGATTAAGAACATTCAGCTTTGACTGGCTCCTGGACTACTGCTGTAAGCCTTTTTTTTTTCTGCACTCCTTATTCAAAAGTAGATGATTAAAAATATGTAGATATAGTAAAGCGATCTCTAATGTTTCAGGGTTTATTTTGCTGTTTACAAGGAATTTACAGAGATGTTATTGGGAGAAAAAGTATTTGTAACTGTTGCAAAGGCAAATAGTGCTTGTAGCCCATAGTTTCCATCTTTTCTCCTATTCATAGCTTCTTAAAAGCTGAATATTGAAATGTCTCTTTTCCCCCAGCCCCAATGCTTTTTCTTTTTTTTTTTTTTT